TGAATCGACTGCGGAGGTGGTGAACGGAGAAACGTCTGCGACGGCTGTTGTGCCTTTGGAAAATAAAGCTTCAAATCTCTTCAAACCGGATATCCTATTGGGAAACAGAAATGCGGACTTAACCCTGACTCTTCCAAATGAGTGAAAATGGGATGAGATGGACAGAATGGAAATGTAAGGTTTTTGAAAGTCTCTAAACTTCTTTTCCCAAAATCAACAATGAGAATTATTGGAACTATTGTGGAGCTTAACCCAAAGTTGACTAAAGACTAAGAATGACATAGGAGTTGCATTAATGGCCTATACAAACTAAATGTTCTGAAGACTTCCAAAACCGCTTTGTACCCCATTTCGAAAAACAACATAGCCGCTAACAACTTCGCAGCCTCACCAAGCGACTAAAACTGTGTCCTTATAGGAGATGTTCTGGTGAAAATGCTAAACTATGGAGTCCAATTGTCTCACTATCTCATTTCACTCTGCAAAAGTTGCTGAGATAGGTCTCTTCTGCCTAATAAGTGTTATCTGAGCACAGTGGTGTGCGTACATTTTTGATACCAAAGTGGGGCGGTTAGATATCTATGAGAGGCAAAGCTGAGAAGTTACGTAGATTTAACCATGTTACTGGATGACCTCAAGAAAATGGACTTAACAATTTTTCCTTTAGTGGCCCACTTCCATATATAGCATGGAAAAATGGAGAAGTTTAGACCGTAATGTATCAGCTATATACATTCTTCATATCTCAATTGAGTGTTCACGGCGAGGACTGGTTCATTGAAAACTTTAACCTGTTCTGTATAGGCACGAGCTTTTTGAGAAAAAAAGGCCCACCATTCTGAACAACTACGGAGTAAAGTGATGATGGATAATACTTTAGCAATCTGCCCCCTATGACCTCTGCCAGCGCAAGCGCGGTGCAGCCGTCGAAGGTGAAAGTTAGAAGCAATAGGGCACAGACATCACGACCATCTCACCGACTCCGAGGTCTCGGTCACCCCCACCGCTCAAAAGAAACATCCACACCTTCCACGATTCAGAAGAACTCAACACCTCACGGTATCTCCGCAAAGAGCTCAACGCCCCCACCACCTTGCATCATCAGCAGCTGCCCATCTTCATCAGCCGCCATTCAGCATAATACAGGCACCACCAGCAGCAGTGGATACAGCCGCAGACAGTGGCTGCTCCCTCCATCTTTCAGCAGCAGCAGTGGCCATGGACTCCATCTTCTTCAGCAGCAAAGCAGTGGATACAAGCCGAGCAGCAGTGGCTGCTCCTATCATCCTTCTTGAGAGAACCTCCCTACCTACAGCTCCCGTGATGCTTCCCCACATGCTCCAGGCTACAGTCAGGCATGCCTACTGCGGGTTCACTCAACCACCTCTGTTCACCAAGATAAACCTCATCTACTTCCATGGCGGACCCGGACTTGGGTCCCCCCGCTACATCCACTCCATTAGGGAAAATGAGGTCTACCATTTCCTTTGTTTTCTATCCCCGCTTTCACTACTGAATTACGGAACTATCGTGCAGGCATGATAAGATAGGCGATGATAGACTTATTCCTCTCACACCCAATGTAGCCGATCATAGAGTCATAATCTAAACATCATAACACTCCCCTTACGTACCATCCAATGCCTATCCTCAGGCGGCTCCAACTCCCAAGTCTCCCAAAAAATATCCCCCGGGTCTCTCTTTCCCTATCCTCCCCCCCCCCCCTTTATACTTTTTTTTCTCTCCCACCTCCCCCACCTCTTTCCACCCACCCCCCCCAACCCCCTCCCCCCTCACTCTACAACTCCTCTAACCCCATAAGATATTCCACCCCCCCCTCCTGCACTTCATTTTGCCCACGCCTCCCCCTATCAAGCACCATAGAAACCTCCACTCCATCACCACCTCGTCCACCAGACCCAAATCAGCAGGACCAGCACCAGATAAACATCTAAACAAAAAAACCCATCCACCTTCAACCGCCCCCCGTCACTACTCCCATGAACCACCTGACCTCTCCATCCTCTTCCACCACCACGTCCACGTCCTACTCTTCTCTCTTAGCACTAGGTTGCACAGGGTCTCTGACTTCGCAGCCACGGCAGTATTGGTAGAGGAGAGTCCGGCTGGGGCTGTCATGGAAGCCACCTGATGCCATTCCTTTAGTGATAAACACAAAGAATACCATTATCAGATAAACATCTGTAGGTAATCTGATACTAATCAGGTAATTCTAATTCTTGTTTAGTGTATGATTCAGCCGACCAAAAAAGCGGATAATGAAAATTTTTGATTAATTGCTTTGTAATATGTCAGGCTTCTTTGTAACAAGTCTTTTTTTTATCAATAAGTTTATTTGGTCTTATAATCTAGTTCTTATGTTCTTGGCTGTAACATGGATTGACCAAAATACAAGGAAAATGCAGTTTTCA